ATGGTTAACACTCTACACACAGCAAAGCTATTTTACAATTATATCTTTAAAAGCTGTTATTGACAGGGATCAATTTCATATCAGATTTTTCGGTTTACGCCTCATTAGAACTTGTCTTCAAAGTCAACTGCCTGCTGATATGTCTAACAGGAGAAATGTTGTTCATTCTTTTAAAATTAAATTGACAGTTAATGGAACATCTTAAAAATAAGTTGAAAACAGGCCCACTAATTCAATTCGAGAAAGTGTTAAAAAGCTTTTTGATTTGGACAACAATCCCTTGAAGTTTAGATCTACTATTCGTTGCGCAAATTATCCCAAAAATAAAATCAACTAAAGTCCCTATTTAACACCAGCCGTTTAAAAGGATTAAGCTATAACTAGGTATACCTATCGATAGAGTGCCAACGAGCAAAAAAATGCGTATTTTGCATTTGAGAGTTTCTCAGGTCCCCTCCCAATGCAAGGATCATTTAGTTGAAAAGGTGTTATGAATCTATCAAGGTTGCAGAGAAGACTTGGTTCTCATATTCCTGTTGCTTTACAAAGCGCTATATAAAAGTTTGAAATGTCATGAAGTATCTTTTTGAAAGAATAAAATCAGCTTTGCAGAGGGAGGTATCAGTAAGAAACATTTGTTTTTTGAAAATCTGAACCATTTATTGATTAATGTTGAATACATTTGAATGTCAATTTTACAAGTGTTACATAACGTTTTTTAAAACATATTTGCACATATTAGGTGCTGGAGACTCTGCTCACAGGGTAGTCCTATATATGAAGTAAAGCGATTGTTGCAGGAAGGTGGGGAGACAACGTTTTTGGTTGTTATAAAATGGTGGTTGCCATTAAGATGGGAAAGTTTTCTTTTTTTAGGCATAAGGACAGTTATTCCCTTGTTCCACATAAAGAATGGGGTCATATGTACTTACATCTTTCTGAACAGAAACATACTAAAGCATTTGTCTGTTTAATATTATTTCATGTAACACAACTAACAACTTGAAAGTGCAAATAGTTGATAATTATTGTAAAATCGCAACCAAAAAGAACATTGTAATTATATTATTATTAATTTTGGTCCAAAATGAGATGAAAGAATAAAGAACGAAACTGAATGTTTTGATCAAATGATCCTTTGTAAAGTTTGTAGTAAGAACACTATCCAGAGCAGTTTAACCTGTAATTAGTGAAGATGATGATATTTTTGTGATTACTTTTCTGTTCATATTGTATGTGAACTCGATGTCTGTTGATTTCATGAGCGTTTAATGTGGCTTAAATTCTGAATGTAGCCACGGTGATTATCTAAGAAAGGGGAAATGAAAATTAAAATGAGATAAGAAATGTGAAATATTAATGTTCAACAAGTTAATGCAATTTTCCATCTTTATGAAACCAAATATGGTCAGAAAAACCTTAAGTAGACTTTAGTGTGAAGGTTATGAAGGGCTGCTTCTGGTAATGAATTGAATGAAATGTGACAATTCCTATTTTTTAGTACTCAATTCTGCAGTAACTGTCGTGTCACCTCCCCATAGCCTCTGCACTGAAGAAAACAGGAATATGCTTCCCATTTTATTTAGTTTGGGGTTAAAACCTTAAAATAATTATTTAGAACTACAGCCACATATACTTACGTGAGTTTGTGTTGTCTGACTTTATTGTTGACATGACTTAATTGGTTGGAGATCTGAAAACAACATACCACAATTATCTGTAAACTATATATACACTGTAGCAAAAGGATTTTTAACTATTGAGGTTTTATTTTTTAGCACAAAGCATTTGTTGTTCTCCAAAAAAAAAAAGAAATGAAACGTGTAAGGTTTGCCCACATTATTTGCCACCAGCTACTACAGGGACAGGAGATCAAAATCTTTTTATTTTGATCTCCCTGAAATAATAATAATAATAATAATAATAATAATAATAATAATAATAATAATAATAATAATAGTATCTAAAGTAGTAAAATAGTATCTAAAGGCACAAAGAAAGTATTCTAAGACATTGTAAAATGTGACTTAAGTGTTTCATTAGCTAACAAATCAAGACGCTTTTCTTCTTCTAATCGGAACTTAAAATTAGTCAACTTTTTCACAGCTTGCAATCTTTCTAGTGTCACTGGTTCAATAACGAGATCTTGAATTTTCTTCACCCTACTTAAAGCAACATATGTAATTCCAAGAGTTCTCTCTGATGACCCTAAATCAATCCAAGCTTTACTGAAGGTTAGACCTTGACATTTATGAATTGTCATTGCCCAGGCTAATCTTAATGGCAATTGCTGTCTTTCATATCTTTGTCCCAAGCATCCAGAAACTTGGGTAATGGGACAAATTGGAACACAACGTTGAAACGTAGAAGAAACTGAAGGTCCTTTATATTCCTCATCAAACTGAACCAGTACACATATAGGAAGACATGGAGGTTGCTGAACTCAGCATAAACAAAGTCAAGTACTGTCCCTATTGCTCCATTGCAAAGACCAACATCAGTCCAGAGATTCATAGTTAACATGACTTTGGCACCTTTTGACAAGTAAATAACAGGCTCGAGGCCCCCCATGTCATCAGCACTAAGAGTTTGTACACCAAGAGAGTGATGTGCCTTAATCATGGCTATTGGTTGATTCAAACTTTTAAGTTTACTCATGTTTAATTCTGCAACTTTTTCTTTGTGGTAACAAAGTCTTACTGAATGTTGTCTGAAATCGTTAATATTATTCACTTTATCTGCAGTTCGAAAAATTAATGACTCCCAGTCTGACATAGTTGAGTCGCCATAACGAGCTCGGGTTAACAATGCCCTAAAATTGGATTGCTCAATATCACTTCCTTGAACTCTCTGATTAACAGTCAATTTAACAACTTTCTTGAATTCATGATACAGCAGAAGACCTTGAATTTGTCTTTCTGTTTTTGGTAAAGAATGATAAAGTGGTTTATCACCTACAGGTGGTAACTAAGCTATGTCACCCACAAGAATAACAGAAATACCACCAAAAGTGGTGTCTGTCCGTCCAGTGGCCTGTCTACAACGACTATCAATCCATCCTAACAAACTCTGGCCAACAAAAGAGTATTCATCAATTATTAAGAACTGAACATTCTCGAGATTAGTTTGAAGCAGTTGCAAAGGTATCCCTTTTAAATCACAGTGTCTCTTTGTGCCAAGAGGTAATTTAAGCAATGAATTTAGGGTGACTCCATTAACGTTGATAGATGCTTTTCCTGTGTAAGCTAAGACCCTACATTTTGTCTGAAGCAAATTCCTTAAGGAATCAATTACATAACTTTTTCCTGTTCCTGCAACGCCCATAATAAGAGGGCGTAAAGGATTTTGTTCACTGCTACTAAAATGATTGAAAACAATATCATAAGCTACTCGCTGCATTTCACTAAAAGTTGAAGTATCTACAATTCTTGTTGAGCATAAAGAGTGAGAGCTACTTCTGTTTTTCTCTCTGTTTATCCACGAAGGCATTGCATTTATTTCCTCTGTTGTGAAATGTTGATATACCTGGTGCCAATATGCCTGTTGTACAAGTGTGGATTGCTCATAAAAATCATTTGTTTGAATATTTAATTGTGCCATGAGCATCCACTCCTCTCTTTCATTGTCTGCATTGTTATCTTCTTCAAGAGAATCATTGTCTGAGGGTGTTATGTACATGTAGCTGTTTACAGCTTGCAGTTTGGTTTCCCAATCAGGGACTAAGGATTTTGCAGTATCTGTTGATAAGAATTGTTTCCAACATGCCGTGTATGTCTCATCAGATTGTTCAAGGTTATCCCAAGCATCATCTGGTGTACATTGCCAGGGTTTGTATTTAAGCAACTGATATTTACAAAATAAACCATAGTCTTCATTTTTTGGATTGGATGAATAATTAGGGTAGGTTTTCACAATTACAGTTTTTCCTCTTTGGTGAAGTTTTGAACCTTTAAAAATAAATTTTGATGCAAACGGACAAAAATTGTACTCTAATAATTGTGGATCTACCTTGAGATAGTTATGACGTTCAGCATAGATATCAACTATTGAAGGAACAGTACAAATTTGGTGGTTTGCTCCAAGTTGGACTCTTCTCGATCCATCAAGTGATGCAGCGATAACCTCATTAGTTGCACTTACAAATTTTATTGACAGTAAATGATGCATGACCTCTTGAATAGAGTAGTCTCTTTGACCAACAGTTTTCAGCATAACTTGCTTAAGGGCACCAGGAGTATCAGAAGTTTCATTCATTTTGTTAATAACATTGGTGAAAGCATTTTTGACTACAGAAGATGCTTTTTCAGCTTTTGATGTATACTTAACAAGATATTCCAGACAAGCATGATAATCTATAACAATTTGAATATCACAATTTGCTCTCCACCCTTGAAGCTGTAATCGCTGATGACGATTCAATCTAGAATCATTTCGTTTTGTGACAATGACAGCTTTATATTTTATGTCACAAGTTTTTGTGTTAATTGGTTCAAATTCAAGTCTTGTTTCAGCACAGTTGTCATAAGGAAAGTTAAACCTACAATGTAATTCAGATTTGTCATCTTGTTGAAGACAATATTTAGTACTACATGTAGTATGTCTCTCCACTGAATTTAACAAATGTACATAATCATCTGCCATTTCATTTGCTTTTAATGAAAGATATGATTTTTGACATGGGTGAATTTCTGGTTTTGACCATCCGTCATCAGGAGAGCAAGGATTCCAGGTTGTCAACAAAAAGTCAACATATCTGCAAACAATTAACTCAGCTTCTTTGCCTTCATGTATTTCATTATCAATATTCAGAATCTGTTCTTTAGGCAGCATATTTTTTTTTCATATTTATATTTTGAAGCCAAGTATCCCTTAAGGGCCTTCTCTGTGAGGGAACATAATCCTGGGTCATTTTTCAACTTAGCAACTCCATGACAATGGATAGAACCCCTTTGGACAGCATATTCGTACCTATACCAATGCCAGGAAGCCTGCAATGAATCCTTCAACCAATACTTAACAAAACGATCAGTTCTTTCAGAAAACAGCCAATCTAAGAGATGTGGGTTGTCCAAAACATGTTTTTGCCTATCGGCTGGAGTCAGTTTTTCATTGCTACTTTTCTTTAACAAGTTGTGAAACTCTGGCCAGTGATATTCTGCACATGATAAAGTAAAAAATATTGTGGGTGGTCCCTTTTGAGTTATTGTAGCCTTTAAGTCTTCTTTTGATTTATGCCAATAAGCACTGCTGCCAGTTATATTTTTGGCATAATGCATCAGCTCAGACATAAGTGAAGAATAGCTATTAGAAGTAAGCATTTGTTTGAGTTGTTCTACAGTTAGCTGGGCCTCACCTGGATGTTGCTTAAGAAATATACTACCCTGACTAAGAAGTCTGTGCCTTTGAATCATATTAAATACCCAGTAAGCAAATCGTGGATGACGCACAAATCTGTACACCCATTCGCCATTGATGTTTTCAGCAAACTTTATCAAGTGCTTTACTTTATCACCTAGGGTTACATCTCGTATTGTGGCAGTATTGGTTGGATCTCCAACAGCATCAGGGAAGAGAGTGGGAAAAGCCATTGTTGCTAGTAGCTGAATTTTGAATTCACTTAACGGATTGGTTTCTCTGCTAGGCCATGTAGCTTTGTGCTGTTGTAAAAGTTCGTCTTTTATTAGCAACTTTTGTGGCTTCAAAACTACAGGATTTAAGAAAGTACTGCTTATCTCTGTTTCACTATTGAATGGTATTTCATCAGTATCAAGTGGACCTCTATCTGGATCTATTTCATGCTCACTGTCCACAGCACAGTGGACTTTTTTTCAGACCGGGAATGATGGCTTGTTTTGAATGGCTCATAGATCAAAAATAGAAACGATAAAGTCAACGATATAATATTAATGTTACTGATTAATTCATAAGTTTAAAAAAATATATTCACTGTATTTGACTGTGAAGTGTGTAGCACTACTGTACTGAAATACGCAAACAAATATTGTAACTTAAACAGAAACTTGTTAAAAATCTCAACGGGCAGGAGAGTGGCTACTTGCCTATTTACAAAGGGAGGGAGTTGAATTCAGGAAGCTCATGAACAAACACAATTCTACCACTAGATAGCGCCACATCCACACAAACTGGGGAAATCACAACCGTGACGGCGTTTGGACTGATCTGATATGAACAATGTAGCATAGGTTTTCTAATTTCATTTGAGAAGAGTACAGAAATTTAGTGAACACGTAACAATAGCTTCAGTTGTAACTGCTAGTCATGTCCAATGTAAAACCAACATCTGTCGGGCTCTGTCAAACTCTCAGTCCAGCTTATTGTTATGCCGAGACACTCGCATCCGCATACGCATAATTAATTTTTGCATGGTCCTTTCCTGTTGAATATACAACTTTTTCAGTGGACCCATCTGTGAAGACGCTTGCTTCCTTTTCTTTTTGTCCGCCTTCCCCTCCAATCGCTGTTTCCAGTGTTTCAAAAAAAACAACTTCGCTGCATGAAGCAGTCTCCTTTTTCTCTTCCTTCCTTTTTTCAGATATCACCTGGGAATTCGACT